ACTAGAAAATGTCACCAAGTAAGTATTGAGAAGTAATCATTGATAATACCAGAAGTCACTTGAAAAAGGTTCTAGTTTAAATGAGCACATTGTTTTTTTCTTAAAATAAAAAAAAGTTATGACCACAGACTTTAAAGTTTTTGATTGCAAGAAATCAAAATCAATGTAATTCCTAAGTGAGTTAAGTACCTTAAGGTCTTTTTATCACTTCTGATGTGGTAGGTAGATTTTCCTTCTGCAGTAAGGAAATTAGAATTATTTAATATTGTCCCCTGTTTTTATACAGGCACAGAGAGGTTAAGCTATTTTTATAAAGTTACATAGTGAGTCATACAAAAGACATTTTCAAAATAAAGGGCATAGTCACATGATTGGAGGTCAATGTTAATAGCTGGTATTTCCTGTCAGAATGTCTGCATTTCCTTCAATTAAATAAGGAGCTAGATTTATTACAGAAATAGGACTTATGCAATAGTGTAACCACACTCAGATTTTGAAGACCTGCAAGTCAGAGCAGAGTAGCTTCACGCAAATGCCACACGCCATCCCAGAGTATGATCTGCTCTCCCCCAAGTCTCTAAGATCATCGTAAAAAAGTGCTCACCGCTATTTTCAATAAAGGTCACACATAGTCTTCTTCACCATGTTGTTTTCTGAAAGTGAGCATTACTAATTTGATAACCCTTGAACTTTACTCTGATATTTTAAACATTTTGCATTCGGAAGATCAGTTTTCACCTGCACTTAGTCAACAAAAACATATCAGTTTCCAAAGTGCCTTTAGATACTTCCAGAGGCTTCCTTTTTATGGAAAAGGATTGTGATGAAATAAAAACCTTAACTTTTTAAGCTTTTCTTTTGGTTACCTAGAAGTCAGTTGAGTCAACCAGTGGAAAATAAATATGTTTTAAGTCAGTTAGAATTCAGTCTGTTTTGCTTATGTCTGAATGGCAAAATTGGATTGACTGGGCCACAAAAAAAAAAAAAATAAGTTTGGGCATTTATATTGTGTAATTATATTCCTTTCTGTATAAAAATGATAATAAATATTTATGTCATGTTTGTGATACTTTTTACTTACCTGTATATTTGTGATGTTGTAACTCTAATATATGGTAACTTTATTTCACTGAAGCTTGGAATAATTATTCTCTATGACATAGCTTAGGGCCAGTAGGCATTTCAGAAGGGTTTCATTAGACTGTTCTAATAAAACTGAGTCTGGAATTCATAGCTTGGCAAGTTCTCCATAATTGCAGAAGGATGAGACATTGATGTTACTTATTTTTTTAAATTATTTTATTAAATCTTAGCTCCTTTAAATTAGCTTGCAGAAAAGCCATACCTTACCTAAATTATCCTTGAGTATCAAACCCTCTAGGAATATTACTTTTACATTTTCTAATCTGAAATATCTTATCCCCAAGCATCCTAAACTGTAGTCCTCTCTATCCTCCTCTTCATTCCTAGCTAAATAAGACACCATTAACCTATGGGCCTGTTTTGTATGTGATGAAATTCATACCTTTTAAAAATTGGCAAGGTTCAATAAGTGGAAGGAGGGGAGTTTGCACAGTTTCAGCAACATTGATTGTACAAGAGTGAAACGTCTTTATCATGCTTGTGTGCTAGGTCTGCCCAGGCTTTCTCCCCCATAATTTTGGCAGGACAGGAAGTAGCTGACAGCAGTACAAAGTCCTACAAAAATAATTTGACCTTCCCTGTATACCCTTCAAAATGTGAATGGACAATTGTACTTTGTGTTTCTAATTGTCTACAGATGTCCTGTCCTGTAAATTAAAAGAAAAAACTAGTTGCTATCATTTTATGACATTCTTAAACAAAACCCAGTAAATTGGGTAACTACTTTCCGTGCAGATAAGTATTTAATTATAGCTAAAGCAAGCCAATTTTCTTTGATAAAGCCATTATTTTAGAAATCTATGTTAGAAAATAGTTGCCTTATCCTTATATTTAGTGAACTAGTATACCCTAGTTTCTGTCTAACCAAGGGGTAACCAGAAATGCAAGGTGACGACAGAACACACAAAGACTGAAATTTACCTCAGGAGATTTCAAGCTGCGAGTATGTGCTTAAATATATATATATATATATATATATCTGTACCTTCTTGCTTCCCTCTTCTTGGTATTTTTTATTATATTTTTAAATTACATCCTTGAAAATTCTGAACATTTTCAGTTACACATTGAAACTCAGTAATGTTCTTGAACTACCAAAGGGTCTTTGTCAGGCCATCACTCACAGACTCAAGAAGACTTACATTAGATGTTAAGAGCATAAACTGTCTCCTGGGGTGGAATGTAATTCCCAGTGACTGTCCCCACTGACATACTGTCCCTCCCCCTTCTGCCCTACCCACCATCCCAGGGTGACTGCACTTGGTCATGAATCCAGTTAAGATGATTTACTTACATTACTAGGGTTTAACAGTATATTATTGTATAAGGATTTAAAAAAATAAATGGAATAACATCTTTTTCTTATGTGTAACTAGTTAAAGAGAGATACTGTTCTCATTGAAAGGATTTTGTCGGTGACTTCTGTGACTGATCAAATGCCACAGTAATTGGGACAAGTTGGCTTTTCACTTTATACTTCTCATATATGGAAATATATTCAGTAAAGCAGAGCCATTTATTGCTTAGATTCAGGGAGAGGTTAAGAGTGACTGGATGGATCTTAGGACCTCCTAATTCTATAATTACTTCCTTGAACTCTTTTTTTTTCTTTTTTTCTTTTTTTGCCTCTGCAGATGTACTTGTGGATTTGTTTTTTCTTTAAACACTAGCGATGTTTTCCATAAAGTTTTCAGGAGTGATGTGGTAACAGCTGTCTTGGGGTTAATGCTGTTGAGCACTGAGTGTTCTGAACTCATCCCAGCCACCTTACCCCTGGCAGACTGAGTTGAGCACAGACGAGTGTGAAACCCCAATTTCACACTGCATGCTCAGCCTCTATAGACTGAAGCTTCACTATCGTTAGCAGGAATGATATTATTCATGCAGTGCCCTGCTCATAACTCTGACAATTAGCAGGTCACCTGAGAAGTTTTAGATGAGTTGAGGTACAAGGGTAGGGATCCAGTGTATCCTATATCGTTCTACTCTTACAAAGTGGGGTTCAGAGGATATGTCTATGATGAGCTGGTCTCCTTTAAGAAAATGTCAAACTATTTCTGCAGCAAGACTTTCTGCTGTCTTCTAAGAGGAGGAGCAGGGTGATGAGTGTCTGTGGGTTCCAAAGTGACATTGGGTATTTTAGAACTTCATCTTACTGTTTACCAGTTCCTTGGTTTCTACTTGATTTTCTTCTCAACACCAGAAGGATGGAGTGAATGAGAAGTGGTCTCTTCCATCTAGGAATTAAAAGGCATTTAGGAAAATGCAACATTTGAGGAAATGAATTCAATATCAGGTTATTTGTATGGTCTCTCAAAGGAGAGGTGGTCTATTCTTGCTCGGTGTTATATCAGAGTAGGAGAGGTGGAGGAATCTGCAGAAAGGTTTCAGAAAGATGGCAGGCCTTGAATTAAGTATTGAAAGATGACTAGGTGGAACAAGAGGAAAATATTGGGGAATGGCATATCAGGCAAGGAAAGCATCCCAAAAAATGTGGGCTGTGAAACAACGTGCACGCACTGGGCACTACGAGAAGTGCTATAACATGGCTTGAACATAGTATGCAAAGGGAGGCATTCAGAGAAAATGCTGGAGAAACCCATAGATGGGAGCTGCAGGTTCTGGGTTACGCTCGGGAGTTTATCTTGTAAATTTTATCTTGTAATTCTTAAGGAACCCTTGGAAATATTTCAGTAGGGGAGTGACAAATTGAAGTGTACTCTCTGGCAGCTTTGTGATGGATCCAAGGAAGACTGATTCTGGAACTAACCAAGAACATGATAGTGTCTAACTGAGAGGTAACACAGCTGTAGACCAAAGGCATAGCTGGGTGGGGTGGAGAGCAGGGTAGCAGAGACAAGAGGAAGAGTGAGATTGGGGGAGATGTGATAGCTCATTCTATATAATATTATTTATGTCATGTTATAAATGTCATGATCCATCTTGCCTGTGTCAAGAGATTGTTTCAGTGAGTTATTAATAGTATTAGACTGGGCCCTCCCTGATGGTGCAATGGGTATGACGCAGCACTGTAAGCTAACCCAGCCACTTCAGCAGGAGGTTGATCCCTGCCCCGGAGGTGATCCACATGGCAGCAGACCTCACTTGACCTGCCTGCTGCTCCCCTCAGCAGCGTACTTCATTGATCAGCTTGCTGTGCTCCCCACTCCATCTCTGGTGAATCCTCTCACTACCCCTGTACCTTTGGCCTGTACTCAGGTTCTGTATGTATAAATCAATAAATCTTAAAAAAATAAAAAAAGTATTAGTCTTCCATAATAGAGACAATCCACATACCCCACAATCTTGTTTGTAAAATGTTTTAAAGGTGTTCAGTTCCAAAGTTTCCAGCCTGCTGATAAGAACTACACTTTAAATAGTGCATCCAAGCACATCAGGACTTGTAGTTTTTCACTGTAAAATGTGAACATTTGTACGGTAGGAAGCACAATCTTTTACTTAGAGGTGCTTTTGGATAATGGCTTAACAGGGGGCTAGCAGTTCCCTCTGACTGTTATTCTGACTCTTGGAAGCCTTTGACAGCTGATTTTACTTTCCTGAGCCCATTCTTTTTCATCTGAAAATGTTAGACTAGGTTTGTTGTTAGAAGTAACTAAGATTGAAGCATGTGACCCTGACAGTCTCATCAAATGCTAATAGTGTCTTTCCTCCCGCGTTCTCTTCTCAGGGAGCTTAAAAAACTTCCCTTCTCTGTGCTAAGTTTTATTTGGAGGCCCTGAAGGCTATTACTAAAGTATAACTGTATAATTGTGTAAATATTTAAATTCCATAAGAAAATTTTACACGAAAGTCTTGATTTTCTGGAAAAGCAGATCCCTGGCTTCTCATTTTTACAGGATGTCAGTTGCAACGAGATCACAGCCTTGCCCCAGCAGATTGGACAATTGAAATCTCTTCGAGAATTGAATGTCAGAAGAAATTACCTTAAAGTTTTACCACAAGGTAAGAGAGAAAGAGGAAGAAAAAGAGTAATATGGGAGTACTGATTTTGATTCATTTTTGTGGAGAAGGTGGATGGTCATATTTGTAAGCCTGTTCATTTTCTGTTTACATGTAGGTAACAAAATTTTAAGTTGTCAATTTAGACAAGGAGTACAACAGAAACATTAAAAATCCATGTGGGACAGTGTGTATCAGTTTACTTGGGCTCTCATTACAAGCTAGCATAGACTGAGTGACTGAATGAATGACTGACTTAACTGTGATTTTTTTTTTTTTTTCTTTTTCCTCTCACTGTTCTGGAGGCTGGAAATCTGAGATCAAGGAGTTGGCAGGTCTGGCTTCTTTTGAGGTCTCTCTCCTTAGCTTGTAGATAGTCTTCCTTCTGTGTGGTCCTTATTTCTGTCCTTATAAGGATACCAGTTATGCTGGATTGAGGCCCCATCTTAATGATCTCATTTTAAATTCATTACACCTTGAAAGACCCTGTCTCCAAATACAGTGGCATGCTGCAATACTGGGTGTTAGTACCCCAGGTTATGAACTTGGGACTCACAATTCAGCTCACAGGAGGCAACATGAGTTGTTTTGGGTATGGATATGTGATGATCTGGATTATCAGACAAGAGGTTAGTGACATGCTTGATGAAGATCTGACTGTTGAGGTTTCCGACTTTAGGGAGCTGAGAACCCTAGTAGAGAACCCCTAGTGTCTGCATCCTTCCTTCAGGTGAGGGCGTTGTTTGTGGTTTGCACAAGTATTAATGGAAAACTCTTACTAACAAGAAATTTCTAAACATATAACCCTTAACTGAGTTAGGAAAAACTTTCCTTTTAAATTTATGTTCTCATGTTAATCATTGAGAAATTATCAGAAATTGTTGAACGCTCCTCTTGAAGAGGAAACTTTAACTTAGTCATTTTGTAGGTGCCTGTGAGGAAGAATGTCCTTATGCAAAATAGAGATTTTTCTTTCTTCTTTCTTAACTGTTCTTACCTTAAAATCATTCCTTTGCCGGCCCTCCCTGGTGACACAATGGGTTAGGATGCCACAGCACTGCAAGCTGGCTGCAGTCGCTTCAGTGCTAGATCCCCGCCTGCCCCAGAGGTGACCACATGGCGTGGCAGACCTCTCCTGACCCGCCCACTGCTCCCCTCAGCAGTGTACTTCGTCGATCTGCCTGTTCTGCTCCTTGCTCTGTCTCTGGTGAATCCTCTCACCCTACCCATCTCTGGCCTGTACCCCAGTTCTGTACGAATAAATAAATCTTTAAAAAAAAAAAGTTATTCCTTTGCCTAAAATTGATCAGTTACAAATTTCTATACCTCCCATGATTATATTTTCTCAGTTTCAGTATTTTAATATACACTTAAAATTAATATTTAAGTTTACTGGAAAATCTTTTTTTTTTTCTTTCAAAAAATTTCCTGCATATCAAGTTTCTTTTTGCTTCACTCGGGAGAATTCTGTTAACAAAAGAGCATTGATAGTACTCTCAGGCCTTGAATTTCAAGTCTTTCCATATTTACTTGTTTTTACTCCTTGAATACCCTTCCTCATATGCTTTCAATTTGAGGGGGTGTTTGTGGCTTCATCACCCATCGGCTCCATCCTAACTCAATACCAATTTTCTGGTGGTTTTATTGCAGCTACTGCAATGAGGAGACCATATTTTTTTCTAGGACCAAAATGGACAGAGGAGTGAGAAATGGGAATTGCTATACATGTTTTCTTTCTCCCTTTTTATTTTCTGTTTCTTTTGACCTTTTCTGGCCTGGAGTTACTTTTCTTTTCATAAACAAAGATGAAATTGTGTTCCAAATGGACACTGAAAGAATAATTTGGAAAACCACTCCTCATTTCCTTGACCTATAATCTGCTTCCTCACCCTTCTGCTGTGTTTTCCAGGAACTTAGTCCTCTAGTTTTGTTTTGAAAACATTCTCTTTTAAGTGATAATTTCTGAAGCTCCAGACTCCAGTTAAATTATGCCACTGATTTGCACCCTAACTTTAGTAAGGTTAACCAACTCAGAGACTGGTTAATTTTTTTAATAGTTACAGGAATGCTTCTTATATTAATCTCCTCTAATTCTTATGCCTGTTTTAGAAACAAACTGCGTGAGCAGGGTATTACTTTTCTTTCCCTTCCACTTTTCTGACCCCAGCTTATATCCTCTGTGAACTTCTCTCTGCTCCACCTTCTGATACTCAAACCCTCCCCTCCATGACCACCTCCAGGACCAGTGTGGCCTAGGGCCAGTGACTTGCACTACTTTTTTGGAAGGGTAGAAGAGGAGAACTGGATTTTGGATCATTTAAAAAATATACTTCCCCAATTCCTCTTTTACTGCCACCTGTGTGCATCTGAATTGGGATCTGCTGAGTTTGATGTGCTCCGTCCCATACCTCCTTTAATGCCAAACAATCCACTGAGGCATAGAAGGAAAGTCCCAGCCACATCTGGAGTCAGCTGAATTCAGAGCAGACACTGGCTGCTACAGGGATCTTTATTGGTGGAACTTGAAGTGGTATAGTTGAGTGGGGGGCTGGGAGAGGGGTGTGTAGGAATGATATTAGTTCTCCAGGTATCTGCACTTGGTTCCTCTTTTTGCTATGTGTTCTGCACTACCACTGCAACTCCTTGAGCATTTTAAAGTATTGCCCTCCTCCCCAGGTCCCATTACAAAACTAGTGAGGTCCCATGCTGAAGTGAACCCACTGCAACCTCTCACACTGAGCTTGGTGTTTTGCCCCATGTCACCCTGCATGTCTGGTATCTCTTAGCCCTGTTGCTGTATGCAATAGGTTTGACTTTGTTTCTAGCAGCTGCCAATGTCAGTTGGAATGCTTGAGATTACTGAGTGTTTACTATGCCACTGGGTGGGGATTTTAAGCTAAATATAATACTCTGTCTTGTTTGTAGAGCTACAGACTTTTTTTTTTCCTTTTTTTTATTACAAAGTTTATTTTTACATCATTTTGCACATTTTATTTTCCATCTCGATTGTAATCCCCGGATCATTTAATTCATTTAATTCAGCTGACTCCAGATGTGGCTGGGACTTTCCTTCTATGCCTCAGTGGATTGTTTGGCATTAAAGGAGGTATGGGACGGAGCACATCAAACTCAGCAGATCCCAATTCAGGTGCACACAGGTGGCAGTAAAAGAGGAATTGGGGAAGTATATTTTTTAAATGATCCCATCACCAAATCACCTCTGTGCCACCACCACAGTCCCGTGCATTTCCCTCCCTTCCTCCCCTCCCCCCCGTTTTTGATCCCATTCCCCACTCCACCCCCACAAAATGTCTCTGGTATATGGTTGTTCATTATTTTTGTTATTTTCTCGCCTGGTCCATTATACTCCTGCTATGAGTGACACCATCCGGTATTTTTCTTTCTCTTTCTGGCTTATCTCACTAAGCATGATCTTTTCCAGCTCCATCCAAGTTGCTGCAAAAGATATGTGTTTCTCTTTCTTGGTTGCTGAGTAATATTCCATTGTATATATGTACATCTTTCTAATCCAGTCATCTACTTTTGGGCATTTGGGCTGCTTCTATGTTTTTCCAATTGTAAATAAAGCAGCAATAAACATGGGGGTACAAGTATCTTTTTCAATCAGTGTTTTTGTGTCTTTTGGGTAGATACCTAGGAGTGGGATTGCTGGGTCGTAGGGAAGCTCCATGTTTAGCAGTTTGAGGAACCTCCAAACAGTTTTCCATAGTGGTTGTACTAGTTTGCATTCCCACCAGCAATGCAGGAGAGTTCCTTTATCTCCACATCCTCGCCAACATTTGTTGTTGCTAGTTGTTTGAAGATGTGCCATTCTCACTGGGGTGAGGTGGTATCTCATTGTGGTTTTAATTTGCATCTCCCTTATTACGAGTGATGTTGAACATTTTTTCATATGCCTGTTGGCCATCTGCAGTTCCTCTTTCGAGAAGTGTCTTTTTAGCTCTACTGCCCATTTTTTGATGGGGTTGTTTACTTTATTTTTGTTGAGTTTCATCAGTTCTCTGTATATTTTTGTGATCAATCCTTTATCGCTACTTTTGTGTGAGAAAATGTTTTCCCAATTAGTGATCTTTCTGTTTGTTTTTAGTAATGTCTCTTTTGCTGTACAGAAGCTCTTTAACTTGATGTAGTCCCATTTATTTATGTTTGCCTTCACTATTGTGGTGTTGGGTGCTCTGTCTTTAAAGATGTCGCTGAAGTGTATGTCGTGTAGTGTTTGACCCATCTTTGCTTCTAGGTCTTATGTCTAGGTTTTTAATCCACTTCGAGTTGATTTTTGTGACTGGAGTGAGGCAGTGATCTATGTCTAGGTCTTTGATCCACTTCGAGTTGATTTTTGTGACTGGAGTGAGGCAGTGATCTAGTTTCATTTTTTTGCATGTAGCTTCCCAGTTTTCCCAGCACCACTTGCTGAACATATTTTCTTTGTTCCATGAGCTACAGACTTTTTTAAAGCAGTAGAATGAATCCTCATCAGATCAGGATTATAGGGTTTGTTGCAAAATTCTGAATTAGATAGTATTTATTTTTTAAAACGGAGTTAAAAATCATGAACTTTTTTTTTTTGTAACTAGTTTGACATCATGCCAGTCCAGATACTTTGAATAGATAAAACTTTACAATTAACCTATTTCTGTGCTAGCAAGTACTATTTGAGAATGTTTTGAAGTTAGAGCATAAACATGTCTTGTGGAGTGTGGCTTTCTCTGGGGTTAAAAAAAGCTTTTATAACAATAGATACTGTAAATGTCAAGTGTTTTCAGCTCTTATCAGGACTAACTGCCAGCTAATCATTGTAGGGCTCCCAATGAGAGATCCCTCCTCCTGTTTGATAAAATATTACATGCACATGCTATATATTCCTAATATGTGACCACATCTTGATAAACGATATATTTCCTGATAAGCAGAAAATTGCTTGTGTAATGTTTGGCCATTTAATCTTGTTGCTTTCTGAGTTTGTTCTTTTATTTTTTCTTTCAGAACTAGTAGATCTTCCCTTGGTAAAGTTTGACTTTTCCTGCAATAAAGTGCTCGTGATTCCCATTTGTTTTAGAGAGATGAAGCAATTGCAAGTATTATTGCTTGAGAATAACCCTTTGCAGTCTCCTCCAGCACAGGTGAGGGGTCTGTTACCTCATGGCATGTGCTATCTATAGCATTTAAAGGATTCTGGCAGAGCTGGGTTTGAATATTTTTCTGAATAATTTTGTTTTAGATAACCACAATCTCAGTGTCTAGATAAGATAACCCCTTGGGTAGAGCTGACTACAGTAACTTTCCTTTTGTTACATCAAGTCTGTTTACTATCATTTGGCTGTGATCAGATTATTCTGATCATGCAATCTCAGAATTGTCATCTTGATTATTTTATAATGTAACATACATGCATATGGGCTATGACTTTGAAAAGGAAAATAGACAATTCTTACCTTAATGTTTGCTGGAAAATGAAGTTTAAACATTCTGAAATATGACTTGATTATTCAAAGATAAGAGTTCAAGTTTAAGTATTGAACTATATGAGAACAAAATGAAATATATAGGCTTTCAGGATTGGAGTGTTACCAGGTCAGTTATCTGACTTCTGTACTCTTTAAAGTATTTATACTGAAAGTTCTTTCAGAATCGTATGGGTTAATGCAGGAGAAACTAGAAAGTGCTTGAGCATTGTGTTCTATTTAATGTAGAATTTGATCCTTCAAATTACTGCCTAAATTCTTATATCTTTCAGAAAGATCAAATTTGTGTGCATTGTTAGTATTACTTCAAATGAAAGTGCAAAAATTAAAAACATATAGTCAAAAATTTACATTTTGTTTTGACATTACAAAATAGGTAATGTTGATTTCTCCATAGATTTGCACAAAGGGCAAAGTGCATATATTCAAGTACCTAAGTATACAAGCATGCCAGATGAAGACAGCTGACTCTCTTTACCTACACACAATGGAGAGGCCACATTCACGCCAGCATGTGGAAGACAGGTGAGTGTCTGATATCACTCAAACCTCTTTAGAATTGCTTAGACTGAGGCACTCCAGGTAAATAGCTTCTCAGATTCCTTTGCTTCATTCAACCAGCACAGATTTATAACTGAGAGTTTCAGTGACTTCATAAGATAGAGAAAATTTATGCTGTGGATAACATTTTGGCATCTCTCAAATTTCATCTACCTGTCCTAATCAATAATCCATTTTATGTGAGTGCTACACTGTCCTAATCAATAATCCATTTTATATGAGTGCTACATATGGGTGAATGTGGTGTTTATGCATACCCTCATAAATAAGATCTATAGTATAAATATAGAAACTTCTATTTATCAGTTAAAATAACCATATCAAGCTCAAACATGTCTTTTTTAATGATGTTTTTAATATTCCTCTGGGATATTATTAAGAAAAACTGCAAGTTTTTCTTTTTTTAGTTCTTTTTAAAATGCAGTATGTGTAGATTTTTGCCATTTCCTGTTTATAATGGAAACACAATCCTTACACATGTCCATGGCCTTTTTGTGGCATAAATTGGGCCTTGAACTTTCAGAGAACAAAGCTCCCACACTGAACACATAGAAACAGGTTGTTTTTGAGAAGTTTTTTCTTTAATTTAAGAGTAAACATGGTGATTTAAAAATCTCAGCCTGTCAATGGCATCTTTATATAATGCTTGAAATCCTTATCTATATTATTTTATTTTCATAAATATAATACCAGATTTTTGTCATTGGATAAAAGCTTATTGAATTATTCAAAATAACCTTGTAAGAGATAAAAAATAATCCTCTTGTAGCATAAAAAGCAATTAAGCCAATTAGATTTTTGCTTTTTTTATATACCAGAATTAATAAATTTGTTCAGTGTTTGAAGGAACTGAACACTTAAGAGTATAAATCAATGAAATCCTGGACAAATGTGCTCTATTTAGACACTAGAAGTATCTGGCTTTCATTAAGTTTTACTTTTAGCTTATTTGGTATGAACTGTCTTGTTACTTTATAGTAACAGTAAAAGTTTGTATAGCACAATTATTAATTTGAAATATAAAAACTGATGTATGTTACTGTGAACTCCATTAATTTAATTTTTTCTAAATGAATTCAATATTGATGACATCTATCCCAGCAAGAAGGATTCTGATTCAGGAGTTGGAAGTGACAATGGAGATAAACGATTATCTGCCACAGAAGTAAGTTCATGATCAAATTTTGTTCCTTTTCTGATTCTGAATATGTCTGCCTGCATTCATGAACTCCTTTCTGGTAAGGGGCAGTCATGTATCTGCATGAGAGTATGTGATAATATTTGTGAAAGCAATTTGAAATCTTCTAAGTGTTGTATAAATATTAGCTTTATTTGTTTTTGTTTGTTTGCTTTATTTGCATCTTAAATATTTTGTAAAGATGAGTAGGTTCTGGCTCCTACTACACTCTCCACATTATCTAGAATTTTCTTAGTAAATATTTTGAAATGACCAAGTGATATGTAAATACCTGTGAGACATATTTAGAAATGTGTATATTTTTAAGTGACAAAATAACGTAGGAAAAGCTTGTTTTATGCATGCATGAGTTGTTCAGGGATCAAATGTACATAGAATTTTGGTGGATTTACCCACAGGCAAATGAAGATATAGTTATTAACAATATTTGTCTTTCTGGAACTCTTAGATTGTCTTTTGTTTGCTCAGATAATTGTCTAAAATGTGGGGTTTAAGCTAGGAGACCTCACCAACAAGTACTTTCTAAGTGCTCACAATGCTTGTTACAAGTAACTCACTTAGCATGTTTGTTATCTTGTTCATAGGCTATTAGATTTCCCCGGAATCTTTCACTAATATACCAATAAGCATAACTTCCTGATGGAAGGGGCAGTTGGGTTAGGAGATAATGTATTATCCGGTCTTCCCTATTTAAGAGAAGTTCTGGAATTTTGTAGTTATTGAGCTTTGAAACATTGTAATTTTATTTGGAGATGTAATTATTGGGTCAGCTAATTACCCTAGGAACTCACAGTATTACTATGTACAACTCCAGGAAAAATACCTTTTCCCAGGTTTCTCTAGGTCTCTGAGGTTTCCTGTAGAGCTGTTTAAATTTATTTTTCATAAAATGCTTTATAAAGCAGTGTATTTTAAACATTAGGCTATTTAACATCTAATGCAGAACATTTCAAAAGGATGATTTAGGCAAAAAAGACCATGCCAATAAAAGAAAATGACCTTCATGAAGCCAAATGAATATGGCTGTGGCTCCCGGGGGAGAAAATACTTAATACATTGCTTTATAAGTTGTATTTAATTCCTCTCCCTTTAACTTTATTAAAATGCCTAAGTCCCCTGAAATATCCATTGTCTAAGAAATTACTCACCCCAAGCTTACTTTCTATTAAATTATAACAGACTCTGCTTTATCCTTTATCTGTCTTCCAAGGATAATTAAGTTCATTAATAAAACATTACACAAAGAGCTTCATTATCCTTCTCACTTAGAATAAATAGGATGCTAATATTCTAAAGGAGGCCAAGGATTGATTCTTCGCTCCCTTTTAACTCTATCCACATCTTTGGAATTTTGTAAGGTTTTTTTTTTTAAAGATTTGTTTATTTGTGCATACAGAACTGGGGTACAGGCCAGAGGCTCAGGGGTGGTGAGAGGCTTCACCAGAGACAGAGTGGGGAACAGAACAGGCAGATCTACGAAGTACACTGCTGAGGGGAGCAGTGGGTGGGTCAGGAGAGGTCTGCCACACCATGTGGTCACCTCCGGGGCAGGCGGGAATTGAACTTATGTGGAAGCGGCTTCAGATTCTCAGTGCTGTGCTTTAACCCGCTGCGCCACCAGGGAGGGCCAAGGAATTTTGTAAGGTTTTAAGAAGGGAGGAGGGTGGAAAGAAGGGCAATGCACAAACCTTACTTACCTTTGGCTTTTTCCTGTCTTGCAATATAGACTCATTACCTGAGAACGCCTCCAAGAAGCTTGCTTTTTAGAATGCCAAAGGTTCTGAATTTTCTTATGTAGCTCTCTACTTTCACATTGTTTGGCAAATCTGTTATCATCTGCAGCCAATTAACCTTGTTCTCCACTTGTATCTCATTTTGAGGTTCAAAAATCACACCTCCTTCCTATTGGACTGTTATCATTGTCTGACTGAGTTAACACTAAAAATTTAGAACTTAACTTTTCTTTCAACAAGGAAAAAATAGAGCTCAATGAATCCCTGTTTAATGACAAAATGCACATTTGTTTTCTGCTGGTTTCTGAATGATTTGTGCACATACCCAAAAGTAAACAAAAATGTTCTTTGGGGCTTCCTGACCCCTGTTATTTGGAAAACTTTTCACTGCATAGCAACACTTAAATGGAAACATTGGGAAATAATTTATTTATGAAATTATTTTCACTTATGAAAGAATTATACATTATCTGAACAAAACTGTCAGCTAATGTGGGGAACAAGACCCACAGACAGAACTAATTCGGATTACTAAATTAAAGCCTTATCCTGAAAACTTTATAGTGCAAATGTTTCTTATAAGTTCAACAATCATCAGCATTTGATTATATGTAATGCACTTTTCCTCAGCCTAAAATGAGGAAATAAATCGAACTCTAATTTTCATGTTGCACATAAGATGCAACATAAATAAATGAATAAATTTGTCTCAGCAGTTGACTGCCTGCTTTTTGTGACTAACTGCATGAAACTTTACTAGTTTTGGTCAATTAGTGGTGTTGTCAGATCTCAGAATATCCTTGCTATTAAAACGATTGATTAGATTTAAGAATAATATGACAGTCATATCCTTGCTATTAAAACGATTGATTAGATTTAATCAATATCCTTGCTATTAAAACGTTTGATTAGATTTAACAATAATATGACAGTCCTTTTTAGTGCCCCGAGGTCTTTTTATGTTAGAAAATGCCAAGTGCTTGACAGAATTTTCAACGCACATGTTAAAAAAAAAAAATGAGTATTAGCTTTGTGGATTTTCACAAAGTGAAGGTTGAATATGGAAGACAAGAAATTTAAATCATAGAAACAGAGAACAGATAGGTAGCTGTCAAAGAAAGGATGGGGTAGGTGGGGTAAATGTGGTGAAAAGATGCCCACTCACATTTCTAAAACCCTAAGTCCTAAGATTCACAAGCCACCATATACATGCAGAGTGGTGACTCCAGCTAACAATGCTTTATTGTTTATTTGCATACTTCAGAAATCCTAGTACGATTTATAATCAAGTGAGATTTGATATCAGGATCAAGTGAAAAACAACCCTCACTTGATTCTTGATTATATTAGGTCCTTTTTTTTTTTTAACAGGTCTTATAATTTTAGGATCTTATAATTTTTTCACAAGGGGAAAAATAAATCGTGTGAGGGAATGGATTTAACTTTATTGTGGGGATCATTTAGCAATAATGCATGTATCAAGTCATGCTGCATGCCTTAAACTGCTGCATTGTTCTTTGTCAGCTATTTCTCCACAAAACAGAAAAACAAAACATATATGTACAGAGCAGTACATAAATGATAACTGGAAGAAATGACCCAAAAATGAACACACCCATAGAACCAGGTTCCAGTTCAAGAATAGAACTTTACCATCATTTACAGAACTCACTCGTGAATGAGTGTTCACCCTCTTGACTTCAAACATCAGGGATTAGGCTTAACTGTTTTTAAACATATGTAAGTAGGGTTCTTCTTTGTATCTGGCATCTTTTACCTAATATTACGTTTTTGAGAATCACAGTATGTTTTTTATCACATCGATTCTCTTCATCTCCCTGAGTGAAGCAATGCATTGTGTTTTTCTAGCCTTCTGATGAAGATGCTGTTAGCCTCAATGTGCCAATGTCAAACATCATGGAAGAGGAACAGATTGTTAAGGACAACCCATGTCATCATCTTGGCCCAATTAAAGGTCTGAAAATGAAAGAAGGGGAGAATGCTTTGTTTTTAAGTTTTTTTTTTAAAGGTTTATTTCTGTATACAGAACTGGGGTACAGCCCAGAGGTGCAGGTTTGGTAAGAGGATTCACCAGAGTGGGGAGCAGCGGGTAAGTCAGGAGAGGTCTGCTGTGCTATGTGGTCACCTCCGGGGCAGGGATGGAACTCATGCTGAATTGGCTTCAGCATCTTAATGCTGTGCTTTAACGCGCTGTACCACCAGGGAAGTCCCTGTTTTTAAGTTTTAAATACTATGTTTAAAATATGCACAGATATGACAATAACAATAGCTACAGTTTAGTGAATATTTCCTATGCCCCAGGTACATGTTAGTGTGTGATGTGATCCCACTTAAAGTACAAATGTCTGAAATGAGTATTCCAGTCATGTCCAGTTTATCAGTGTGGAAACTGAGACTCAGAGTTTAGATAACTTGCCAATGGGCATACAGCTAGAAAGTAGTAGAGCTGTTTGTTCTTATTCTGAAGATATATGCAAGATTTTGTAAATCCATTCTTAAAAAGAAATTACTGGGATGTAGATGTATATATATGACATTTGTAACTCATAAAATCATTGGCTCAATACAATTCAGATTAAGTCCACCTGGGAGTTAGTGACTGGCAGGTAAACTCCCTTCTAAGAGGTGATTTAAGAACAAAGATCCTTTCATCCTGTGACTCTGCTGTCTTTGACACAAGACTCCCAAAACTTCTAAGTCCCTCTGTTTCACGTCAGAGGAAGAAGAAGATGGAGGTTTTCTCACTGGAGGCTTTTATTGGCTGGGCATAAAAAGAGTGCTCATTGTTTACAAGCTAGACTTGGTTATAGGTTATGTGGCCACATCTAACCACACTTGAAGGTGGGAAATGTAGTTAAGATATGTCTTCAGAATCTAATTGACTTTGGACAAGTCAATTGACCTTAATTCTCTCACCTAAAGTCGACATGATTAATTAGGTAACCTCTAATGTCCTCTGAGTCTAAAATTCTATCTATGATTTGTTAATAATCAATAAAGGATCACTCACTACCCTATATCATGCATACTTTGGTAATCCTAGAAATGTTTCCAGAGGATTCACCAGGAAGAGTGAGGAGCAGAACAGGCTGACTGCTGAGGAGAGCAGCAGGCCGGTCAGGAGAGGTCTGCCATGCCATGTGGATCACCTTGAGGCAGGGATTGAACTCATGCTGAAATGGCTTTTGCTTCTTAGTGCTGTGTTTTAACCCACTGCGCCACCAGGGAGGACCCCTGTTCAGTAATTTTTTAAGACTAAAATTTAACGTTTACTGATTTGTGGCAGAGGTTATTTTAAGCTGTATGAATGGTGAGAATCTGATTCATAAGCAGAGTATCCCAGTCGCTTAATCTACTGTGATTAGTGATGGGAGCAGTGCTGAGCCCAGCTCAAACTTTAGAGTGTCTTCACTTCTTATGGTTACATTTTTATATTTAGAAACTAAATGTAGCATTTATATGTGTGTGTGTGTGTGTCTGAAATCATGACTGGAACTATATGTTGCCCTAATCTAAATGTATGCTTTGTTCAAAAAGCACAGCTGCTACCTTGTTAACTTAGACAAAGCGTGTCACTTCATACAGGGCAGTAGGTAAGACTTGAAGACAATTTTATAATTTGTTACTTGTGAGTCCCCCTCCTTTTAGAAATGGGTATTCTGCTTAAGAGTCCTTGAAGATGACCCAGCTTGGATCATTTTCAGCCTTAAGATCAGAGAGAAGAAATCTGCTGGTTGTTCTCCTCCCCGGCCTGTTCTCCACCTGCCATCCGGCAGCACATTCTACCTGGATGTGCTCTGAGTATGATTTTCCTCTCTGAGGCCCTTAGCATGTCTTGTGTTTTTATTACTTTTGGGTCCTTGTTTTATTTCTGGTCAACCTGGCATTTAATAGTTGCTCAGTAAACATTTATTGAATTGTTGAATTTTGAATTTGAAACACTTACTTGTTATATATCAGTGAGAGCCCAAAAGTCCTCTTTTATAGTTTCTTTTCTCTGATCTTACCAAAATAAAAGTAAATTCCTTTCCTTTCATCAGGAATGTATGAGGTCTTGAGTTTGAAGTTTAGTGTAGGTTTTCCATCCCTTGTACTTTTTTCTCTTCTCTCTCTTTTTTTTTTTTCATCTTCGTATCCTCCAGAAAAGAGAAAACTTGGGTCATACATAGAGGAAATAAGAGAGGAGATTGAAATAGATAATATATTGAGTATCCTCTGGACTATATTTGTTCATTAAATCATGTTTTCATCCTTTTTTATTAGGGGAATTTCATCAGGAATTTCAACCAGAGCCTTCCCTTGTGGGTAACAATGACAACTCAAGAGAAGAAAGAAATCAATTTACCCATGAAACAGATGGTCTTTGTTCAGAATTTATAAACTATATTAAGGCAAGTTGAGGAGCAACTAATTTTTAAATTTACTTTCTTCTACTTGGTGCCTTAGAATTTTAAGTTCAAAGTTACCTGTCCATCACCCTGAATTTCAGATCCTTCTTATCTTCAGGCTCTGTGTGTCTACTTCTGATATTTGGAGCCAGTGCCTGTCATATATGCCTATCAGTTTGTCTGTGGATGTGGATGATTATCTTTTGACTAGTTGGAAATTATTTCAGCTTTCAACTACAAGTTCAAATTTGTCAAAATTACCATTACTATCCAGTAACAACTAACGTAGATAAAGTTCACATACATTTTCATGTATTCTAGGTGAAAACCTTTCTCAGGTATATATCCATAGTATAAAGAGAAAACTAGTGAATCTGGTCTACCAGCTATAGAAACACCACTCTGAGGACACCTATTTCTGAATTGTTGTTTTCAGTGAGGTGTTGAAAGATTGGATACAGTCACTAAGTCTTCAGGTGAATCTTCATTATAGCAGAGAAGAGCGAGGAAAAGTGACGTTTCTACCTTGAAACATGACTAGGTGTCTTGCTGTGTTTCTGCCAGTCTTTCTGAATTAGGCTGTGGCACCCAGGATCATGAGGATATTTCTTTTAGTAACGTTTAGATTTGATGTGGTTTGAGAGACAAGGACCCTAAAATACTGTGTTAAAGCCAACATTGGGATCCTTACATGCTTGTTTTTGTTTTCTGAGGTCTGTATTATAATAACTGAACTCTGTTCAAACTGTAACCTCTGGGGATCATTTTCAACTGGGAGGCAGATAGCTGACGCTAACACCGGACATGACCCTGGTGTATTTATGAGGCCTTTATGTGACCAGACAGAAATCATAAGCCTCTTTTACTAGCCACAAGGTATCATTTCTACTAACTGAATAAGTAAGAAAAAATTAAAAATGATTCCTTTATTCACTCACTTATTATATACTATATATCAGACCTCTTCTTCATGGTGCTAAAATGTGTATTTTCTAGGAAAACAAAAATGCAAATAGAAAGGAAACACAAAATAAATTCATACCTAGGAGGACAGAGGGGAAATTTTTTCTTTTCAGAGGAACAGGTTGGGGATGTTTTTGAAGAAAATATGTTGAATATTTATTCCCAGTTCTAGGCTGGTCATAGGGAACATTAGAAAGCAGGTAATTTTTTTAGCATTTTATTCTCTTTAAGTTAAAATCTCTTTACATTGTTCTATGGGGGGCAGGGAACAGAAGGAGATAGACTGGGTGATTTTACTCATAAATGGAATATACAGAAATAAAACAAGGAAATAGACAAATATACCCCAATATATGAGCTCTAGAAATCTGATTGTAGATTCGAGATTACCAGAGGGTGAGGGCAAGGAGTGGAGAGCAAGAATACAGGCTCCCAAAGAGCAGTGTTGTGGAAGGTTTTGGGGTTTGGTGATAGGTTACCACCTTATGGTAACAGGCCGAAGAGAGTAAACCTTTACCCCAAGTCATATTCAATGTTGCAAACCAATGTTACCACAAAATATTAAAGGCAGTTAATAAAAATGAACCCACCACATGGCATACATTGGTAAAAAAAACCCATTGAAATGGTCACACATTATACACGATTACAAAACACAGAAATTAGTAACTCTCTATATCTAAGCTACCAATTCTTGTTTCAAAACATCTCCCTTCCATCTGCCTTCATGACCATTGCTTCAGTTGACCTCACCATTCCTCATTTCGGTCTCTAAACCAGATCTACAGCCATAGCTGTCCCGCCTCTTCCCCTTTGTGCACACAGGATCCATGTTCTGCCACGAGGCTTATTCCTGAAGTACAAGCCTAGTGATAGTCAGGCCGGGGGTTCTCACAGAGCTTTGCTCACATCTGTCCGGTCAGCTCTAGGATACGTCTGTCAGAAGCACACGGAAACTTAGGCTTTTATTTTAATTTTAGGAAAAATTCATCTTAACAATCTATAGCAGTGTTGAAATCTTGAAGTGACTAGTAAAATAAAACATTATTTCAGAAAGCACATTTGGCAGAGTGCTCCGCCAAAGTGGCTGCTGTGCTGTGCGTGTCTTGGGGCAGCTGTCCAGAGGGGCAAGAGGTGTGCTCAAGTGCCCTCTCCCACAGAGGCTTCTTCTAGAGGTCAAGGGAGAATGCTGATAGCAAAATCAACCTAGATTTGTAGTGAAAGCCATTGAAAGCCAGACTCATTTTTGCCTCGACTTGCATCACAGTGAAATCTGTGCACATGCGCTCAATAGCAACCAAGTGTGAGCTGTGCCCTCCCTGTCATCAGGACTTCTTTACTTTGTGCAGAGCTCCTTTGCTAAACTGGCATCTTGTGCCTATAGGTACATGTTGTCTCATGTTTCACAGCTGTTTTGATTCATAAAGCTGTCTCAAATATAAAATGAGCCAATGCTGAGCCACTGGTTCTGTAGAAATATAGAGCTAGGGCCGGTGAGCCTCTAGTCACACATTTCTTTCAGACTTAGGCCACCCCTGCTTGTTTTGTGTGTTTCTGTCTGAAATAACTCTATTTATTAAGTTTTATTTGTACCTTAATGTTGAACTCACAGCCACAGCCTGGAGGAAGCTTTCTTACCTGATAAGTGTATTCTTTATAAAGCACATCATAGCTTTCTTGTGCTGAGGAACACAAGACAGAACTGCATCACTAGGCTTGGGGGCTTTGGGAACAAAATCACACCAGTCAATGCAAAGCTGGAAACATGGAATTCATAGAATCGGAAAAGGACGCCTGTTTACAGTGTGAGATCTGAAACTAGAAGGCAAGCTTCACCTTCTTACCCTCAGCTGGGAAGTGCTTGTCCAGGATTCAGTTGTCTCTCCACTGGGCTTGTGTTTGTGACTAACTGCCTGCATAAACCACAATAATTGATGCCAGTGTTACAGGCAAATTGTAGAGTAGTTAAGTCCATAAATGTGGAATACATGCATAATGAGGATCAACTGTGTGAACAGTTAACATTTCAAAAGAAAACCAGTGGGAGCACTATTTTGCATACTGAAGAAAGTGTTTTCTATGATTAGTTATTTTTTCTGTGAAACTGAAAGTTAGAAGAAAATACCATGGCCCCTGCAGTTGGAATTCACCAAGAAGAGAAAGGAGCATGGTACAGTTATTTCTGGTGGCATATTTTCATTCATGCATTTCACCATCATTTGGATAGTGGCAGCAATTTATATATTTATATATTGACTTCTCTGAGCACTATAACTATAATCATTATAGAAAAAGTCTGAATGATTTTCAAGCCAGACACTGGTATCAGCCAGCACACTCCTCCTCAGCAGGCTTTTTGAGTGACCCAGCTGGAGAACAGACTGGGCTGAGTTAGCACCTTGGTGCAGAAAACATATCTTTTGTTCATTGCTACTTCCGTGCCAGGAAAGTGCAACCCTTGACAATTTGTCTGTAACATTGAAGTCAATATTTGTGGTTTATGCAGGCAATTATTCACAAACACAAGCAGAGTGGCTTTCTTTTTAGCTGTCAGTTGGGGTAAGGCAGCGTTTCTCTGTGTCAGAGATGAAAGTGAAAAGAAACCTGTGGAAGTGGGGCACACCTTCCTCGTACCTCTATGTAAATGATGTTTCTTTGGGGAATAGTGGTGGTGGGACATGTCAGTGCAATCTGAGTGCTGTCCACAGAAAAACTCCTACATGCAATTTGAGGCATTTCTGTTAAGTATGTTATACTCTCCTTTCCCCCAACAGCACCCACATGCACACAGCGAGCACTCTCCCAAACAGTAGCTTGCACATCCTCATGTGGCCCACAAGCCCTGTAGAGAAACCTGTCAACATCAGGAGGTGCTAAGAGGGCAGGAAGGTGCTGAGTCATTGTTACATTTCTGACAGTAATAGAAACTGGTCCTGGACCAGCTTTTCTCCTTTTCTCCTACCAGTTTTGCATTTTCATTTTATTTTTCTTTCTCTAAATACATGTTACATAACACTTAATATCTTAGCTATTTTAAGCATACAATTTAGTGTTGTTAAGTCCATGCATATTTTGATGTCCCCATAACCGCAGCCCATTTGCAGTGCTTTCATCCTGTGGAACTGAAATTTCTGTATCTTTTAAAAAGTAATTCCCATACCCCATCCTCTTACCGGTGGCAACCACCATTCTTCATTCTCTCTTTCCATGAATTTGACCACCCAGGTGCCTCATCTAAGTAGAATAACAATATTTATTCCCCCTTGACTGTCATTTTTTCCACATAGCTTTGTGTCCTCAAGATTCATTCATGTTGTAGCCTGTGTCAGAATGTCCTTCCTGTTTAAGGCTGACTGACAGTCCTTTGTCCATAGGGACCATATTCTGTGTTATCAGTTTACCTGTCCACTGTTATTTCCACTGTTTGGCAGCTGTGAATGTTGCTACTGTGAGCACAGATTGAGGCAGATTTGGTTATTGATAGACAGTATTGCTCAGAATATCGTGCATTCTGTCCGCAGGATAGGACCGAGGACTGTGAAGAACTCTTACGGATAGAAGAGGACACGCACTGGCAAACCGAGGGGATGTGAGTGCCGAGGGTCTGGGTGTCAGCCCCATCCTGGAAGTTCATGTTTCAAACAGAATACAACCCTATCATGGAAAAAAAAAAAAAATTTTTTTTTTTTGAGGGAGGCAAACAGATTCTTACTGAACAATACTGATTTAAAAAAAAAAAAATCTGCCAACTTCACTGGCTTGTTGCCATAATCATAATACTGGGACATACAGTGTAAATTCACAACTATTTGTTGGCCCTGATTTCTGTCTGATTTGAGACTGTGAGTAGAACTGTGGTGCAGGGAATTAGAATTTTCTAGACTCAAGATTCTTGCTTCCTTCAGTTGGTCTGTAGAAGACACAGCTGGACCTAGAGTGGTACATAGTCCTGGTCTCCCAGGACCCAGAGTATCTTCAGATTTCCTAGACTTTACCCAAAGTAAAGATCTGAGAAAACACTATATCGTTAATGACCTTGTCCCAAGTCTGAAAGTTGTAATAGCTAACATTTACTGAATATTGAATGCCACACTATCCAAAACATTTCACAGGTAATAAGTAACAATTTCATTTTAAGATAATCCTCTAAGTTGTATTGTTATCCCCAATTTTAAGATGCCAGAACTGAAGGACAGAGAGACTGATTAGATTGATTATCTTTTCCGAAGAACATATCTAAGTCAGGTTTGAGTCCAGAATGTTGCTCCAAATAGATAGTGCTTTTACTCTGTTGCCTGTAAGGATTTCCATGCAAACTTTATGGGGAAGGGCCTGAGCTATCTTATCATATGAAGGGGCTTTTTGGGGGGAATTGAATGTGGGCATGTGATATAGAGAAAATTGTTAATTTCCAGGATTTTGTTTTCCATGATCTGGCATGTAGCAGTAGTCCTAGATCTATTTTCATATCTTTGGGGAGACTTCCTTTTTTAGGGAGGATTTACTACCTTATTCAAAAGGTTCTCCACTTACTGAATGTTTCAGATGTTGTTCAGTGTTACCTGTCAGCTATTATTGGTATGTTTTGTGATGCTAAAGAGACCTACCTTGGTTATGGCATCATAGAATGATTTTTTTTAAATAGATTTTATAGTGAAAGAGTTTTTAAGTTATAACTTAAACTTTGAAAACTAAAAAATAGGCCTGGCATCTTTAAGCACCTAGATGATTTTCTGCACAAAGGGCCCCTGGACTGAGCCATGCTCAGGTTGTTGGAGGGTCCATGAGTAGTGAGACCCTGCCCACCTGAGCATTGCTGTGGAGTACCAGGACACAGTGTAGGACCACTTGCTAGTGGTTTCACTGGCGGAGGCCCATGGCACTGACACTTGAGATGGTGGGTGGGCTCCTGTACAGCAGAGCCGGGCTTCTCCACTCAGGTGCTAGCTGGCCACTGCCCTGCAGAATACTCACCTCTTCATTATAAATACTAACTCTCTCGATCATTTTTACATGGTAAGTGGATTTTTGTGAGTTTGCCCTGGGGGGAGGACTTGACATTCATGCTCTCTAGGGATCATTTTCCTCTTACATTTGGTTTCATTTTGCAGAATAAGATCATCTAAAGGCCAGAAAATAGATATAGCAATGATTGAGCAGCTAAGAGAAGCAGTGGATTTATTGCAAGACACGAACAGGTAGGTGTGTCTTTCCTTGGCCTAGGTTTCATGTAAAAATAATGCATACTAGTTTGTGGATACATTACCTCATTTAAAAAAATATATACACACACTTTGGATTAGTCAACCACTAACATGATTGACTGCCTGTTATCCAAGACCCATAAATAAGAGTTAAACTTCTAGAGGGGGTGAGTTAAGTTTTCCATTTTTCTACCCCTTAATGAAACTCATTCATTCTTCCTGAAATTCATATGGGGATTTTTGTTATAATCAAGGCAAATTCTTTAAAGAGCAGAGCCTCACATCCTAAGCTGTGGTAGTTAGTGAGAGGGTAGAAATCAGACAGGAGAGCTGTGCGTGTGTATGTGTGCCCGTTTGGATGTACATATGTGGATGCACATGTGCCTATATGTGAAGTTGTGAGGAATAGGGAAATAGCAGTAGCATAGCCACTGAGAAAAGAAGACTTTGAGTCAGCCAGACACTGGTTCCAAATTCAGCTCTAACAGCAGTTAATTTCAACAGATTATATAACTTCTGTTTATACCAGTTTCCTCACCTATAAAAAGCATTACCTTTTACAGTTGTGGGGATTTAAAATAATATATAAACTGTTGGTGGGAAAGTCAGTTGGCAAAACCATTCTGGAGGGCATTCTAGTGGTGTATAGCTATAGTTTAATGAACAAATATAAACCTTTATCATCAAAGTTATGGACTTATTCCAAGGGGCAAAACGGTAAGAGCAAAGATTATGAGGGAGATGGTGTTTTTCATAGCACATATTTGGAAAAAAGTGAAGATATTTAAATATATTTTGGTCATTAGTAAAATGAAATATAATGTGGCCTATAAAAAGTTCTTTTAAAGCTTCCAACACATTTTGGAACGATCATCATATTATGTTACCTTGAAAAAGTACATAGATGGCTTAAAGTTTGGTCACAATTAGATAGAGTGTATAAAAAACCTAGAAGTATGTTAAAATAGATTTTTCTGAATTTCAAATTACTACTTTCCTTTATACTTATATATATTTAGAGACCCAGTAGTAGGTGCTATTGTCTTTCTTACATGATTGCTTAATGCAGGTGATGAGTAGGACGTAAGAGAATAATTTTAGATGTGAGTCTTGTTTTTTTTTGAGATAGGAAACAACCAGGAACAATAGATTTGAGGAGGAGGATGTTGGGGTCAGTTGGATATATTCACTAGAATCCAAAGTGGCAATGGGACAGTATCTAATCAGCTGCTGGATGTTTCATTCTGGGGCTTAGAGACTGAAAGTCATTTTCATGAGGTCCTATGGTAATAGAAGTTGTTCAAGAGAATGTGATTCCCAGGGGCAAGAGTATTGATGGATAAAGAATTTGAGTCCAGGGCAGAGTTCTTTATCACTCTTAAATAAATGTGATAAAGAAAAGGCCCCATTCAGTCTCAAACTTTGTATTATTCTAATATTTGTACCTCTTACATTTTGTATCACCTTTCCAATAAACTGTTCTTGCAAATGCTAGGTTATTTTTTTTTTAAAGATTTATTTATTTGTGCATACAGAACTGGGGTACAGGCCAGAGGCTCAGGGGTGGTGAGAGGATTCACCAGAGACAGAGCGGGGAGCAGAACAGGCAGATCGACAAATTACACTGCTGAGGGGAGCAGCGGGCAGGTCAGGAGTGGTCTGCCGTGCCATGTGGTCACCTCCGGGGCAAGCGGGAATCGAACTCATGCAGAAGTGGCTTCAGCTTCTTAGTGCTGTGCTTTAACCCACTGCGCCACCAGGAGGGCCACAAATGTTAGGTTTTTAACATATACGCTCCAAAGCGAAAAAGAAGCCTAGTTTGGTAGAGGGAACAGTGGCATGGAAATATGTCACTGGAACCCTTAGTGAGACCCAATGACTGGAGAGGGTGTCTCCACCCATGGATCTCAGTTTCATCATCCTTCATGGGAAGTGGGATGACAAGGATCTCCAGATTTCTCTCCAGCTTGGCAATATGAGACAATGAGCTGTCAAGGGCGTTGCACAAATAGATGGTATGTGTCAACCTGAGTAACCTTCCAAGTCATAATTGATTTGCATCTTTATGGAGTGCTGTTTTATAATAACATTATGTTCCAAGATTTTATGTGTATTTTTCTTCCTCCTGAAATAATCCACTACTTTAGCTGCTTCAAGGCTAAAGTAATCGCTACTAGATATGAGAATCCTCACTTTATTTTAAATGTGTTTGTGAGTCAGTGAAATAGTAATAGTCTGTTTTTTGCTTCTGATAAAGAGTGAGCAGTTTTCAAGAGATTGTTTATTTGTAACTGCTCAGGATTGAATATTAGTAATAAACAGTTAACACTCACATTAGGTTTTTTCTTTATCTCATTGATCTGGATTTTTTTGTTGCTGTTTTAGTTAAGCCTTGATTATAGGATTAATTTCCATGCAATCTTAACATCAAAAAAAAAAAATCTAGTTGAATAGTGCTATCCTGTTGTGCCTTTAATGTTGGTCTCTTCTCTGAAGGATTTCTGATTGTTAATTTAATAGCATCTTTTTTTCAATGAATTTGTATAATATGAACTCCTTTCTGATTTTAAAGATAGTTTTATAACTTTTATAGGACTTACCAAAATTCCTGGTTTCATACATTTTTTAAAAACTCAACTTTTAAAACTGCAGTAATTCAGAAACTACCTAATATTAAAATTTCAAATATAAATATGATTACCCAATTGCCTGAGAATCTTTATTTTTTAAGTGAGAATATTAGTGTATAACAGAGAGATTTTCCTATTATTAAAGCAAAGTACCTGTGGTAAAATATTATATCATATGTTACATGTAACAGCTTTACTCAGCTTCCATAAATTAATAAAATTCTAGAATAAAATTTAGTGTATGCTACCTGTGACTATTATGACTTTATTAGAAATTACTATTATATTGCAAGTAAGTTGAATTTTAGTGTCAATAGCAGACAAGTGTATTAAGTTTGGCACACAATGGAAAAATGTCATTTAGTTTGAAATTTCTACCACAAGCCTTTCATTACTTAATGATAACATAACTTTTTAACATATCAGCAGAATTTATTACGAGTTTAATAAATTTACTAATACTTATTTTTTTTCTTGCTCTTCAGATTAAGCACAGATATTACGGAAAGAAGTGTTGTGAACTTTTATCCTATGGAATCAGAAGAAACCTTAGAATTGCAAGATTCTGCATTGAAGTGTGTTTTTTTTTTTAATAACTGAATATATTTTCTCTTTTTTATTGAAATATTTATACTTTAAATTCCACTTTATATCTTTGCTTTTTCCCCATTCCTACAGTGGTCAGATACAGCTGGAGACATCTCCAGTATGTGAGGTAAGGCTGTTATTGCATTAACCAGAGCTACATGCAATATTCTGCCAAAGAACAGTAACCACCATATTCTATAAAGACTTAATATTTACATGGAAACATTGATCATTCAGATGTGTTCAAGATCTATTTTCATATGTTATTT